AATCACAAGTTATTTATTGACATTTACTTTATCTTAAGATGTGAACAATTTTCATGTTAATTTTTCAATTTAAATTATATACTGTATTATAAATTATATAAATAGTGTTAATGTAATAGATGCCAAAATTAATTATTAGTGTTATAAATAGTAATTAATATTTCATTAAGCTTTCAAATTTTTGAGCAATACTTACAGGATTTTAGCTTTTAAATTGACAGAAAGTAATTACACAAAACACATGTTTTTGTTTGTCTAATGAAAGTTATTATCATAGTACTGTAATATAGACTAAGGTTATTATAGTAGGTTGTTAGACTAAATTTTGCACACAAACAAAATAGTTTAAATTTAGTTCAATAATAATCATTAAAAAAAACTTTAAACTTTTTTCAAACAAAACCATTTATTTTATTGAATTTGTGAAATAAAATATTCTTTATGAAACAATTCTTAATGTTATTTTTAAATCGATTCGTAAACTTTTAGGCTATTTAATGATAATTTATAACATATATTGAGTTCATTTACATCATTCCGAGTACAATAATAATCATATAATAAAATATTAGACATTTTTATGAGTATTATAATATAAAAAGTAATTTATGTAATATTATTCTGACACCAAACTAAATGTCAACTCAATTAACACTAAAAATATTGTTAATTAGTTAAGTAATTGTAAATATTAATTTTGAATAAATGCTCAAATGAATAGATATTCATATTATGTACTAGTAGTGAATTAATTTTAATAATTATAAAATATAATAGCAACTATACATTACATTAGATACACATTTCTATGAATTAATTTAAATATCCAGGTCTTTAAAAGGTATCACTTGATAAACATATGACTACCGCATGTACCGTAATTATAAATAATTATCCCATAAAAGTAATTTATTTTTAAACTACTGTCATTATTAAATGTAATATTTATATTAAATGTAATATTTATATTAAATGTATTATAACAGAATTTATAAATACAGTAATTTGTCACATGATTTTGCCTCATGCAAAATATTTTTTTAATGTTAATTTGAAAATAAAATTACTTATAAAGGTACTGTCAGTCTGATATCTATCTATACTATAAATACAATTAAATAATATTCAATATAACGGAAATACTACTGCTATTCAAATGAAACAAACACTAAATTTAATAAAAGACAGAAATATATGAAAACCTCATGAAATGTCTCCAAAACTCAATTTCTAATAAGTAATGAATATAAATGTTGTCTCATATAATAAATTATAATTTCATGTCTAATTATCATATGATTTGTTATACCAAATAAAAGGGAAACACAATTTTCTAATATATTTTTGAAACTAAATAAAAGGATGACTAATAACGTGTAATTTATTTATAATCCTATCTGTACTGTATAAATTCAGTATATTATGTAATAGGTTATTTAAAATACAAAATATCTATAATAAATTTAAAAAATAATTTATATTTGTAATGATTTTAAAATTAAATTGTTATAAATTTCTTACCATTTTTATTACGTCATTTTACAATAACTAAATACATTAAAACTATTGTACAGTATATTTAAAATTCTCCAAACTTATGAATATTCATAAAAGTATTAATGTTAAAATGTTGTTAAAAATCACATTTTTGAATATAATTCATGTAATTATCACTAAAATACTGAGAAAAATATATAAATTTTAAATAATATCATATCAATATAGCATAGCTATTGAATGAGTCTAACAGTCTATTATTATTTGCTATACCATCAACAACTTAACACTTAAAATGCAAATTAAAAATAATCACAATTTATTATACAATACCGGTTCATCATCTAAATGTGTAATATGTGTGGTGCGACCGTGTGCCGGCTCATAATCATCAAACAAATTAAAAGTCCCATTTATTTTGCGCAAATAATGATTATTAAGTCAGACATTAAGTCTTTATTACTCATTGACATGTATTTACATTTTTAAACTCGCTAATATTTAAATGTAATCACAATATTTACAGTATATTCGCTCATCTAATTGTGTGTTATTTTCTCAAACAATATAAATAACCGGAAATTTATTACACAATTCATATGAAATAGACACAAAATTTATTATCTATTAAGTCATAGGAATTCTTGCTATTGTTTAAGAATATTCAGGAATTTTTCGTAAGAATTATTATTGTTGTCATTATTATTATACAACATATTGAATATATTATATTAGATATTAAACTATTAATAGAATTGTTTGAATAGTCATAAACTGTTTAAAATAAAACTATTTTTTACTATTTTGTTTGGCATAACATTATCGTATACTCTGAGACCATTTATACAAACTTCTGAATATTTATTATAATAGTAATTAGAATAGAGAAAAAATAATTTATTAAAAATACTGTAGTAATAATAATCATAAGCTAATTATGAGCTGACGTGCAGTCAATCATTAATGGTATCGTCTATTATAGTCGTAAGAAAAATATATTTATTTAGAAAATAAGGCTAAAAAAGAAAAATTTATATTGAGTCTAGACTTTTGCGGTATGTTATCATTGCCTGAATTTGATTTTATATTGATTACAAATTTTAATTAATCTCATTAATTACCTAGATTTTATTAGACCAAGATAGTTAAGGTGCTATGTAAACTCAATAATTATTATTATTTATATTTCATAAATAAAAGATATAATAAAATATATACAGTACAAAAATAAATAGTGTATTTTTATTTATAAAATTCAACAGATATTTTTATTACACAATAAATAAAAATAAATAAATAAATTCTTATTAATAGAACCAAGATAAGTTATTAAAAACTTTAGGAAAAAATATACATATTTTTATTCAGTGGTCGCTTGAGATTCAATGTGTTTTTGTAGACACCTATGAAATAGCGATATATCAAACCCATTATCTATGACCACGGGATTAGTTAGGGTCTTAGTGGGCACCGGTATGGTTGTACGATAAATACTGCCGGTCAGTATCAGACACCGGATACCGGTGTGAAGTATGGACAGTACGTGCGGGTCTGATAAGCCATGCGACCCATCAATTATACAGCAGTCAATGGGTTGAGATAGTAGTTGCGGACAGTTTAGTACCGTTTCAAACGTACCCAGTATCACGTTATGAGTACTTAATAGACTTTCAAAACCTATTAATTAGAGTAAAATTATAAGTGATTATAAAATTAAATAAATAAATTTGTTTATTGATTATAACAATTTTATAAAAGTTAAATATAAATTGCTTAAAGTCGATAGCAATTTCAAATATCTTTTAGAAATTTTATGAAAATATTTAATGAAAATACTAATCATTCTTATAACTAAAAATATTTATACAATCGTCTCTTTGTCTGTAACTTATTTTCGCATATATTAAATATTTCACAATTAATTTGAAACTGAATACATTTATTTCATACTTAATTATTATTTAAAATATTCTGTGCAAATAAAGTTATGGTGTAACTTATAACACTTAAAAACACAATTGAAAAATTAATGTATAATATTTATAAACTCATATATAAGACTCATTAATTAAAAACATGTATAAATAACAAATGTATCTAAACATAGATCTCTCCCTTCATTCATACAAACTGTAAATTATTATAAAACGCAAAATTGTATCCTTATATTAAATATAAAATTAATTATTTCGATCTAAAAATAATTATAAATCTCGTTCAAACCTTTACTAAAAAGCTCTTCCCTGACAATATGTACGGCTGGCAATAGATTACAAACATCGACAGCTTTATAAACAGGGTATTGACACGAGTCGACCACCTTTTGATAGATAAACCTCTTGTGAAACAACTCTTTATACGCTGTACTCATAGTATTAACCATTGAGTCTAACTTATGACCGCAACTGACGGCTACCTGTCGGGCACTGACTCGAGCCGTACGCCTGACCTCGGCGTGTCGGGTCCACCCCAGTCCCCCGTCCAGTGCCCAGGCCTTCACGTTCAACCGCCTGCCCCCACACACCCTATTCAGCCGCTCCCTCAACGCCTGACACTTTGCCACCGATTCCGTGATCATTAAGAATCGGAGCTTTTCTGCGAGAATCATACGTTTAATACAAGAATATTCTTAAGTGTTTTTGTGTGTCATTAATAGCACCGGAATTGATGTTCGAGTGGCGGATGCCGTCCACGAGTAGATCGCACAGCCATTCCATCCGTTCCTCATTGTCGGTGATGTCCACAACCATAAGTCTGGGCGACGAGTCCTTCAGGAGAATCACATCCAGTGACGATCTGGCGATCATTTTGATGGCCTCTTTCACCGCGTTTTCCGTGAACTCGGTTTGGCTGTTCACGGATCCATTGTCGACATACCGGTGCACTATAGCACTACCCGTATAGATATTGTGTAATAGTTTCCTACACTTTCTTTCCATGATTAAGAGATTCTCCATTTGTCTCAACATAACGGCCCCATTGAGCACAACCTCGGCTATGGCTATGTGTTTGGTTACTATAGAGGACTCCAAAGACCTTTTGGTAAGTATAGTGAACCGATCGCAGAGTAGGTCTCCCTTACATATGTCGTCCACAGATACGTGTGTGTCTAATGTGCTCAGAATTTGTGGGTCCAATTGGTGTATGTCTATCAGTGAATGACTCGCTATTTGTCCGAAATATACTTTATTTGAAACATTTTTTGTGCTCATTTTCATTACATCTAACTATAAGTGAAAAATGATCTTTAATTAAAAATTGTAATACCTTTTTAATATATTGTTTGTTTAGAAAATGTATAAATATAAATAATTATTTTGATAGGTTATAAATATTTTGATATGGATGCAATATTTTGATATGGATGCAATAAATATTTTTGTGTAATGTTTTAGATCTGGTTTAAGTATTAATTATTTTTAATTAATTGAATTATTAAGGGGAGAATATAAATAAAAGCCTATTTATTAATGTAGAATCTGATTTAAATATAAGATACTACAATATTAATCTGCAAATATGTTTTCAAAGTGCTATAAGTTTGTTCAATTTTGGGTACAGAAACTGATTGCTTATGTGTTGGCATTAAGCCATTCAATGTTTACTATGAGTTTTTCACCACAACGAGTGCCCATAGGAATCAAGATATAAGTACCCATAGGATGACCATATCATAGGGTCGGCCCATTGGCTTCGGGTGTCTCTCTATATCTCTTAAGACATAACAGTCCAGTCGTTTGTTGAGTTCATGTTTACCGCAATTCTCACTGTCTTTCACATACAGCCGGTGCCGCACACGAGACGGCGCGTCGTTCTTGAATACCTCCGACAGACTGATAAATAGCTGGCTATAAATGTGAGGAAAGTGTCGGCACAGGTATTCATCCCGGTTCTCATAGTCTAGTTTGTAGGGCCAGTGTTGCATATGTTGGGAAAATTTTCTGGTGGGAGGCTTTATTAGAGCCTCACCCTGTAGCCTAAGATTGAGAATATACAGTATGTCAGTATGTGTCAAATATTTGAATAATATGCTATGAATAGTAATGCAAGCGATTATCATGCTACTTATACTGTACTGTATAATATGCCGGGGTTAATTTCTAAACTTATTTTTCGTATTACAATAGTCTAAATATTTAGTTAGGTTTCAATAAATAAACTATGAATAGTAATGCAAGCGATTATCATGCTACTTATACTGTACTGTATAATATGCCGGGGTTAATTTCTAAACTTATTTTTCGTATTACAATAGTCTAAATATTTAGTTAGGTTTCAATAAATAATTATAAACTCATTAATTTCTTAATTTTATAGGGATTATACAGAATATTCTTTTTAAAAATAGCAGATTCTGTAGTATTACTTAATACTTTAAGCAACTTATTATTGACAGCAGCAAGCTAATTGTTTCTACGTTTGTATGAAAATAACTATTTAAGATTTGTATACACAATACAGTATAAGTTATACCACTTATTGTGGTGTCAAACTATTTGGGCATTTACTGCAAAATTCAATATTAAGATTAAATGACAGGAATTAATAATATGATAGAATTTGCAAACCATTGGGGATTCCACGAGAATATCTCCTGCAATACCATATCAAACGATACATTTTTGTTGAATCTTTTAGCCAAATATTGCTCATCAAATACACTATCAGTACTGATGTCACTTGAAAAACCGCAATCAACGCTCGAGTCGACACTTTTGTTGTCATTATTTTCAATGTTATCAGCAGTGGTTTTGCTATTTTTTAAGGCAATATTATTACTATTAATAGTTGCTATTAAATTACATATTTCTAATATCCGATTTCTCCTGGCATCCATGTGCTCGGCAATAGGCGACTCCGTTTTTATTAACTTTTTAGGCGGACCCGGCTCATGAACACCACTACTATCAGCACTTTGAACCTCATGTTTAATAGGAGTTACACGAAATGCATTATATAATTCAGTAGATCCCATGTCCTGTGTGTCAAAATATTGTTGATTATCGTTGTAATTGAGCCGGATATTAGTGGTAGACTTAGAATAATCCAGAATATTTGCTATCTCATTAAAATGATTACTTGCATACATGTCACCACTACCACCATCATGATCATCCAGCTCGCGTTTCACTTGTATTTCATTGACAAACATTTTATCAAACATTTGAAATACTTATTATTTGTGGAGATTATTATGTTTTATAATATATTATATCTGCAAAATAAGTAAAAATTACATAAATAATATGGCATATAATTTAATATATTAATACGTTCATACCAGTAGTTTAGGATACGAAATAGTATTTATAAATATTATCTAATCGCTAATTAAATCATTTGAGAGCCACGTAATAATAATATGATAACGTGTAGCGTATAATGAAATGTTTATTAAAAACTAAACTTTTATATTAACTATTTTTTCCACTCCTTTGATATCTAATACAGTAGTCGTCGTATGGTATAAATTATACAGTAAAATATTCAATAGCAAAATAATTATTAATAACTATTAACTTGTAATTTAATGATTTATGACATCAATTCATTAAATATCAATATATTATTGAAAAATTGATGTTTTTCACTAAGTATCAGTCAAGTATAATTTGATAATTGGCTCATGTAGTTTGTGAACAGTTATATCCGCTTAATTATTTAGCAAAACATGATTTTAAAATATAAGTTTCACTTTTATATTAATATTTAAAAATATTTCAATAACGTGTACGTAAATTACTTAAATTATCAAAATTCTTGTGGTATTAGTTATATGATAGTGTTTACATTACCACTGAAATTATAAAATTATAATTGCAAAATGAGCTACTTGGGTATTATATGATTTTTATCTATTATACACATCAAGCACACTTGATATTGCAATAAGTTATAGATTATTGGAGCCTTTATATGCGTTTAATGATCGAGTAATACAATACACAGAATTCATATCTATTTTTATATTAGCTATCATAAAAGAATTTTATATTTTAAAGTAATCAAAAATGTCTGTCAAATATACTATTAGCCTAATGGTATTACAATTATTATTATTATAGTTATGTATTTTAAATTACATTTTAATAGTATTTATTTGCTTACTTTTATTAGATTTTAGGCATATAATTTTGAAACTAGATATATTTTGTCTCATTTTAAAACACACACATTCACTACAGTAATGTTATACTCGTATTGTAAACTGATTAATAGCCAGTTTGTATGGAAACACATCGAGTGGTGATTCAGTATACTTTATACTTTTGAAAACTTTTTGTCATTTTTGTTATTTTCTATTATTATGTCGAATAATATTTTGTTATTTTTACATTTGAAAAATATATCCATTATTTTATTATTATTTTGCGTCACACGAATATTATGATTCCGGATTTTTATGTATATGGCAAGTTTTGTATTGTATTTATATATTTCATAATAATTGAGAGAGAGAGAGAGAGAGAGAGAGATACTTAGTACTTATGAAACTTAAAATTTTATATTTATACTGTATTAACAGATGGTGACTATTCATCAATTTTTTAGTAATTGTGTTTTTTAATAATGCGAATATAAATAAATATTTCAAAAACATATTTTTAGTTTATACTTATCAGAATTTAACATGAGTATTTTGTTTTAATTTGAACAGTAATAATTATGACTTAATATTTAATGAAAATTGCAAGGTGTAACAATTAACTTTTCGCATGTAGTGCCCACAAATGGTTAGTAATAAAAGTGTAAGGTATTATGTATTAACTATTTACAGTATATTAAATTAGTAATTAGTAAACACATTGCTAAAAACAAATAAATAATTAAATTTTTATGAGAATAAAAATGTGCATTTCATTGTATATCTGTATGACATTTATGCAAACAAATTCAGATTATATACTGGTAATAAAAGTTAATTTTAATAGCAAAATAGTTATTATAGAAATAATGCAAAAATCTATATTTATTGGCAAACACATAGTTTGAGTCTTAATTTCATGTCACTATAATCTTAAAAACTCGAGACATAAGTACTTTTCAACTGGTATTACATAAGAGGACTACAGTATAAATACAGTAAACAGTAGTATTGATTGCAATTCACATATAATTGAGTTCACAATCGAGTTATTGATTCCTATGTCCTATTGATTAGTGCAACAAAAATGATCGAAAAAATCTCTTATCCAATAACTACTCCAATACTGTACTATACATGCGATCGTATTTGATATAATCTCTGAGCTCTCGCATATTATTCTACATGAGTGGACAGTCGTGTGTTTTATTCACTGTCTCTATCCATCAGTAGCTGTATGTATCAGTTAAGCCCAGGGATGACACATGATATTTGTGTTCAACTGATTTCACGTTAAATCCAATTCAATACAAACACACAATCATTGCATTCAATGCGCTGTTTATTTAACTTTTGCTTTGTTTTATTAGTTTGTTTGTGATATTACTATAGTATTGCTATTTTTATTGATTATTGCACAAAATAATGCAAATGTTTATTTATTAGCACCTATTATTTATTTATTTATATATTTATTTATTTATTGTAATATAATTTTAAAATTATATGATTCAGTATCTAAATTAAATTTCAATTTTAAATTATATTATTTAAATATTTTTATATAATTATTTCATTTATATCTATCAATAATTTTATCACTTACTAAATTAAATGTTTACAAGTATTCACGAAAGCACCAATTAATTATCAATTGTAATATAAATTTAAAAATTACATTTAAAATAAATTATTGATGAGCTTGTAATTTATTATTACTTTTCAAAACCAAACAAATATGTTTCATTTAAACTCAATTAATATTTTTTAGTAATAACTAAATATAATTATAACTTAACAGTTAGTTTCAAAAATATACAAAAAGAGTGTGAAAATGTTAATAATTATATTGCATTTATTATGTAAAAATTTATTTCAAAAAATAATATTTATTACTGTATATGCAAAAGGGTTTTGCGAAATTCAATGGGGAACTGACTAGAATGATACCGGTGCTCTCTTGTTAACTAAATATAGTCATATCCCGTACTTTAATGCCATTATATTTGGCTATAAAAAAATTATACAAAAACTTATATTCAATTAATAATACTAATAATAAATAGCATTTGTTTAGCGCTATTATACATGACTTGCAATTACTTAAACATAACATTTACAATAATTTTGCTCTTATTATCTCTTTATTGTCTCACAAATAATAAAATCAAATATAAAACACACAAACTTTTTATATACTTTTGTATGTAATATATCTAAAAAAATTTTCTACAATTACCGCAAAAATGTATTTTTATGGTTTAATATGTTTTATGAGTGTTGGCTCGCATACGAACCTAATTTCACATTTGATTTATTTGTTTTACAATTAAACCGTTTACGAAAACCACAACTTAATAGTCGAAAATAATTTTGTGATTAAATACTTTGTATTCATTTTTGTTCAAAACTTTTTAATTAATAGTTTTGTTATTATAATAAAAGGTTTAACATGTTTAAACAATATTCAAACTAAAAGTTTATAAATTATTTAATTAAATATACGTTTAATTGAAATAAAACGCTGTAATAATGGGTAAGCCGTCCGACGATGTGGAAAGGGATGGGAGTGATGATGAACAGGGTCCTAAGGGACAGGGTGGTGCCAATGTGGTGGTGATCAAACAACAGGTCCCGGAGCCCCAGTGGCTCAGGAGTGAGCCCATGTCGTTGTGTCAGCTGTTCATACAGTCGGAGTCGGCCTACGCCTGTGTGGACCTGTTTGGTGGGGTCGGGATGTGTGAGTTCCGAGACCTCAACCAAGAAGTCAATTCATTTCAGCGCAAATTTGTCAATGAATTGAGACGTTGTGATGAAATGGAGAGACAATTGAGTTTAGTATTCAATTTTTGATCATGTCTTATATCATAAGTTTAAGTTTTACTTGTTTAAAATTATACTGTTCATTTGCAATGTTGGTTAAGTTTAAGATTTAAATTTGATATAAGAATTTATAATTTTGGGATATTTAGAGCGATTTTTTATTATTACCATTCAATAACATTTATTTTAATTAAAATAATATTATTTCATAAGTTTACAAAATGTTGTGTTAATTAATCATTTAATATAGTATTAATCTTTAACATATTATCCAGATTAAATATTATATATAGTAATTCTATTGAAATAAATAATAATTTATTAATATGTCAAGCATTGTTTTTGTGTTTATAAATTATAATAAGTTATCCTATGAATATAATATGCGATCAAGATCATTGCATAGTAGCATCATTTAAGATTATTATATTATGGACTATTTAAATCCTATTAAATATACACAAATAATAAATTATATAAAATATTATATTCAATAAATGTAAAAAATAAAGTTTAAATAAAGTATATTTATTATTAAAACTTTCCAATACATGAGAAACACCCAAGCAATAAAAATTATAATTGAGATAAATATAATAGTTCTGTATAATAAACATACCTGTACCTTTTCTCATTAATACATTTTTTCTTTTAATGATTATTTGTTAATTACTACAAATTTCTTACTAATTTTTAGGTTTTATTTATTTGTCATTTTATCTTAACTCATTTTATCATAAGTTTATTATTAATTAAACAATAAGCTAACTCATAAATAAAAAATTACTAATGAATTACCTGTTTACTCTATTAATTTACTTTTATATAAATGTTAATTATTAATAACATATGTATTTATATTGGATTTATATCTAGTTTATTTCGAGAAAGAGATTACGAAAGATTCGATGCCATTAATGGATTATGAAAAGGAACCGGATGCACCACAAACCAGGGATATGTCTAAACTAGAAGTATATAAATTTACTCACATAATAAATCACAATGATCAATTTATGCACATACAAAATTAGTTTATGAATGTGATATCTATACACCTAAACAATAATTACTAAATAAATAATATTAAATATATTTTTAATAACAAGTTTGGAAACCCTATACCGTTAATTATAGATATTATAATTATATTTATGTGTTTTTAATATTGAATTATGTTATTGAATAGGGAGAGAGAGAGGGGAGGGAGAGGAGGGAGGGGAGAGAGAGACAGATGAAAATACATCTGATTAATAGTGTGTACAATTCAATCACATCAACGATTTTGACTATCTTTTCAATTACTTTCCTTTTTCTATGATTGTAAAGAATATTCTGTATTTTCATCACAAATAATATACTTTATATATAAATCATTTTTGAAATGACATTTATATCTGCATTCAATTCACACACAAAAAAACTGAATTTGATTTATACGGATAGGAGATACTTCATATGCACTTCATTGATATTATATCATATTATATCAATGATATACCATTATATGAATTATATGATTATTTTTTAACTTTTCACAAAAAAATATAAATTACTTTTTATGCGTTATTTTTATACGTGATAAACATTGCAATAAATCTATGATTGATTTAGACATCATAATATTCTTAAGAATTATTATATATATATTATACAAAGACTTATATTAACTCTCAAAAAGTATGATTTATTGACAAATATATCGATAATATTTAGGCACAGTTTCAGAAAATAGAGACCGATTTGATCGGTGTTATCAATACATCGGCCGATTTGAAGCGAAATTACTTGGAGTTCACAGAACTTCGAAACATACTTAAGAAAACGGGTCAGTTCTTCGAGGAGGCACAGGTATGTCTCGCATCCCATTCCTATATACACACCATTTTCTAAAAGCTCATTAAAGAGCTTTACAAACAATAATATTTGCTTTTTATACCCAAATAGGAAGCGGACTCAACCACTCGCAAGGAAATCCGTAGAGTTTCGGTGGTCGACCCGAGGCTTATGCGGCGATTCTCTAGCGTTAACCAAGAGATTAATATACCATTAGATCCCGTCACTGATATTAAGTACGATTCTTAAAGAATATTCTGTACTATCTGTACTATAAATTATACTAAACCACCCTTATTATGACTAAAGTTTCATAGCCGGCACAATTTTGCGACAAAAGTTCCACTCATTCGAGCAGATGTTATGGCGGGTCTGCAGAGGAAATATATTCCTGAGACAAGTGGACATCGATGAGCGCCTGGAGGACCCGAAAACGGGCGAAATGCAAGCCAAATGCATATTTATAATCGTGTTTCAGGGCGACCAGCTTAAGAATAAGTGCAAAAAGATTTGCGAAGGGTCAGTTTGTGTCATTTCTAAGCTCCATTTTAGGAGTTATAATTTTGACACTAGAAATTATGACATTTTCAAAATTAATATCAGAGATCCTATACTTATAGATACCACACGACACTATACCCCTGTCCGGAAATGCCGGGCGAGAGGGCAGAGATGCTGCGGGGGGTCAACAACCGACTCGAGGAGCTACAGATCGTGATGAAGGGCACGGAGGACCACAGGACCCGCATATTGGTAGCCGTGGCTAAGAATCTGCTCGAATGGAAAGTTATGATCCGGAAAATGAAGTCCATTTACGAGACGATGAATATGTTTAACATCGACGTGACGTCCAAGTGTTTGGTGGCCGAGTGCTGGTGTCCCGACATATTCATACCCAAAA